GGGCATAACGTTAGAGATTGAACTAACAGATTCTGCAGAGTGGGAGAATAGAGATAGAATGAAACAGAATGATGAAATATGGATCTCTATGTCCTCCAGAAGTCTAAGCCATTAGGAGCATAACTATAGAGATAGTTCAGGATAACCTGAGACACTCTAACTATAAGCTTTATCAAAAAGGAACGTTTTAAGCCTACCCTTAAAAATAGACTGGGTGTCTGCCTCACAGACTAAAACTGGTAGTTGGTTCCACAGGAGAGGAGTCTGATAACTAAAAGACCTGCCTCCCATTCTACCTTTTGAAATTCTAGGAACCACTAGTAAACCTGCAGATTGAGAGCGAAATGCTCTTTTAGGGACATAAGCAGAAATCATATCTCTGTTATAAGATGGAGCTTGGCCGTTTAAGGTTTTATATGTGAGAAAAAGGAGAAGCAGGATGATCTGATGACCTGAGGTGGGGACAGGGTGCTGCTCTGAATCATCTTTGATGTTAGAGTAAACCAGTTCTAAAGTGTTTCCACCAAGAGTTGCAAAGTCCACCTGTTGGTAGAAATGAGGGAGTCCAGTCTTCAAGTTAGCCTGGTTAAAATCCCCAGCAATGATGAAAAAGCCTTCTGTGTGTGCAGATGGAAGCTCAGAGATAGCCTGATATAGAGTATTTGTGGCCTCTTTTGTATTAGCGCTGGGAGGCACATATACAGCACTAATGCTTACTACACTGGACTCGTTGGACAGATAGAACGGTCTGCAGTTAACCGTCAGAAACTCGATGTCTGGAGAGCAGAAGTTGGTGACCGATCTACCATCGGCAGTGTAGTGTGAATCCCTCCAGGCTAATAGCATTGTTCAGTATCGGTGAAGGAAGCCATGATTCAGTCAAGAGGATGGCGCAGCACTTACTAAACTCCTTTTTTTTAAAGAGAGAGTTCGAATCGGAGATTGTCCATTTTGTTCTTCAAAGAGCGCACGTTAGAAAGCAGGATTGATGATAACAGAGGTCTGAGGGGATTTCTTCTTGGCTTCGTCGTTAGCCCACCTCTACAGCCCCTCTATGCTGTGTCGCACAGTGTGGCCTGCTCCTTTTGTTGTTTACATTTGTCCGAAGCACTCAGCAGCTTTTTAAATGGTCAAGAGTGGCTGTATTTAAGAGTCCAGAAACAAAATTTTGTGACATAGATTCAGGATCGATGTCTAATTTGTAGCGCAATTTGGTCTATTTTTTTTGGAGCTTTAGCAAGCCTCTGCCTTCAGGCATGGGCATCTTGGATCTCAGTTTGAACAATACAAATGAACAATACAAGTTAAGATAATTTAGTATTTCCCTCTCCTTTTGATTGTATTATCTGGTTAAATTGTCTTTGTAAAGTGCCTTCTTGAGATGACCCGTTTTGTAAATTGACACTATTTAAATAAACTGAATTAAATTTGATTACTATTCACCCAGAGCTATGTGACTTTTTGTTTCATTATAAAGTATTTTGAACTGATCTGAAGTACAACTCCTTTTCCAAACTGTTCCATAGTTTTACTCCCGGAACTGAATTATACTTTTGTTTTAAATTTGTATGCACAGTTTTACTTTTGAAATCATAATTTGTCCTGTTATTTTTGTCACTTGAGTTTAAGACAAAGCAATTTTGTAAAAGAAGTGACAATACAGCTTTTTTTTTTTTTTTACTTTTTTTAACTAAGTCTTTCAGCTTTATGGTGTCGGATTAAATAATCAATTTATTAGTACTTTCTACAAGACTCTAATAAATTTCCTTTATGTTACAACCAGGGGATGGATATTAGTTGAATATGTTGCCCCATACCTCTCAATAACTCAGATGTGCAGTAACAAATGAATAATATATACCTGTCCAGAGTTTTGACAGATCGAAAATGTTTGTTACTTAATTTAAAAGTCAAATACTTTTACATAGTTTTTACTTAGCGAATTTAAAATTAGATTTAAAGTGAAGTTTATGATCCAGTACAACCCTTAAAAATATAACTCCATTTAGTCTTTCCACTAGAATAGTGTTGCCCAACCGGGTACTCATTGTGGTCCGTGATGGCATTGCAAGGGGTACATGTAATGGCATTTCCCACTATAGTTTCAATTTTATTTTTCATTTATGTCTTCTGGGAAGATTGCTTGTAAAATTATACAGACACATTGCAAATTTCAGGAAAGTCAGGGAAGAAGCCAGTTCTGGTCCTATAATTACAAAATAGGAATTATATTCATTTACCACCTTATTTTTTCAGTCTATTTTGTTCTTCCCTTTAAGCTTTTTTTTCAGGATAAAAAGTATAGTTAAATCTTTTAATATTTAATATTCTACCTCAACTTTAAATTGTAGTAATCTTTCTTGGCCTGTTGCATAAAGATAATTTCTCTCTATATATCTTACATTTTCTATATAGCTTCTTGTTCTTCTTACAAGATTGTACCAGTCCCTTAGTCACCCAGTGTTTTACAATACCACTTCTATTTTTACGACACACTCTTGTTGGGAAGTTCTTACCATAAAATGATTTGTATACTCATAAAAATGTTTCATAGGCCACTTTCACATCCTTCCCATATATCAGGCTCTATGTTTCCCTTAAGAGGTCATTACAAGATTTCCTTATTGTTTCTTGTGATCTGATTTTAACATGCTTTATTTCGTCAGCGTCTGTCTCTCGAAGGTCCATGTTTACCCGAAATGATATAATCCAATTGTTGCACCTTTACTGTCTTGCCCTCACACAGAACCCTCAGTAATGCTGGATATAAAAGCTGTCACTTTATAATTCTTTCATTAAGTAATCTGCTAGTGTGTTCATATTTTGCACATTCCTTGAACACTGAAGTCCTCATCAAAATATTTCCTTTGATCATGTACTTATTCAATCTTTACTATCCATGCAGTCTGCAGCACTTTTCATTCAATGGCATGGGATTGAAGCGGAATAGTTAGCCCTATCTTATGTTCTCTCTGCATATGGAGTTCATCAGTCACTTCCAGTTTTCCATAAATAAATTTGTTCACAAAGTCAATCATGTTTGCTTTCCACAGTCAATACAGTTCTCAATGTATTTCTGCTGATTAGACTTTCCAGTTCCTTGCATCTAAATGTAAGTTGCCCCTGCATTTAAAGGACATACAAGAGCATTTTTAGAGGTTTTCATTTCATAATCATAACACTGCTGTTCAGCTTCATCCATTATATTTTAAAACTAATAAAGTCTCCCCCATGCATATTTATCTCTTCCTCTAATAAAAAACTAATTCTTGTTTGAGATTAGATTTTTCTCAGTATTTCAGCCTTTCCTGAGGATTTAACTGATGAAGTGACATCTATTGTTTCCTCTTGATTATTTTCTGTTTGTTTTAATGTACTGTAGATACAGTACCTCCGTTTGTTTGGAATATTGCTTTTGTTTCTGCTTAGTAACTTCTCACTACTCAATGTCCAGTATTTTGATGTCTTAAGAGATGTTTAATCCAAAGTTACATAAACTTTTCAGTTAATTATGTGTAGCAGCTCTCACAAACACACTTGACACAGCTGCTATTTTGTGATTCAGACAGTGTTTAAACTTAACTTTAATTAATTGTTGTCCTCTGTGAGTGAAATGATATTTAGAGTTCTAATGTAAGTGTTACCATTGCAATCTATGGTAGTCCCACTGTCCTGTAAAGAGGACATCATGGACTTTCCACTGATGCCACCTTTGTGGGGTTTCGGCTAAGATAGCACATGCACTGTAATTTCAAAATGGTGGAAAGCCCTGTAGCCACATTGTTTTGCAATAGTGGAGGTAAGTGGTCAATTGTCTAAAGAAAACACATATCAGTTGCTGCTGATTAAGTTTTGTTTAATATCAAAGTTTATGGTTTAAGCTGGTAAAATTTTGAAAGTACACAATAACCCATCATGTTAACTAGTGTTGTGGGAAAATGTATATCTTTCTCTCATTATATATTAATATTCATATTTACTCACTATAAAAGTTTTCACTTAGTCTGTTTCTCTCTCAAGGCCACACCATTCCCTGCAGAATGTTGTCTGTAGACCAGACATAGCTTCTTCCCATAACAATCCAGATTCTTTCTCAAGGTTTATTCATAACATGTTACTGTTAAGCAAAGTGTGTGTAATTTGTTATGACTCTGACTGCTTTCGATTGTTGTAACTAGGGGGGAACGAACCCTGCCCAGATCAGAACAGAGCAGAATGCTGTGCCATGATGACTGTTCTCTCTTTGCAAAGATAATTAATAAATGTGCCGACTGAGTGAAATCCATCGATCTCCGTTTATTTAACTAGGATGAATAGTTGAATACTTTTTTCCCACGACACTAGCTAGTTTTGGACCTTTTTAATACTCTCTTAAATAAAGCCCTTTGCTATTCTATGGACTAAAATGTAAGCCTAGTTATTTAGATTTTGCTTGAGTTGTGTAACATTAAAGCAACAGGTTTTACAGACATTTGCTCAATATCTGGTTATTTATTTACTAATATCAAATTTTCATTAGTGATCGTGCAGGGACTCTCACAAACAAACTTGAGGAATTAAGGAATTTGTCACAATCTCAGTCATCACATTGTCATGATATTTAGTTGAGTCAAAGGTTATTGCAATGTCTTTGGGGTGGAATAGCAAAAAGTAGCCTCATGATGGTGCTAGAGGGAAAGATGGTACAAAAGTCTAAACAAATTATGTGCAAAAGTTTAGAATTAATTATTTTGGAAAGTATAATTGTTGGAGCCATTCATAGAGAATTACCTCAATATTTTAATGAGATTATATGTCATTAAATAAAGGCCCTGATGGGATGGCCCTTTGTATATCATAAAACAAAACACCTTCCTGCCTCCCTTGCTCCCTTCCAACTCTTACTCTTTCACACTTATTTACACACTCATGCTCTCTCTCCCCGCCCTCTCTCTATTCTCTCTCTCTCTCTCTCTCTCTCTCTCTCTCTCTCTCTCTCTCTCTCTCTTGCTGCTTATACTTTTGCCTGAGCAACAGACCAAAGAAAACAGACCTGTTTGTCTTACTGAAACCAGGAAACCAATCAAAAGGCTAAAGCAAGACAAGTAGGAACAGAAAGGGGGGTCTGAAGAGACAGAGAGAAGGAGAAGAAGCGATCTTTCCGCTGAGCTGCATGTAGATGTACCTGCTCCACTTGCCCTGAGAATAAAGGATTGTTATTCTACTGAGATACATGCTGGTAAGAACTTATTGTGCATAATGGAGGGTGGTAAATAGGTTAAGGGTGAGTCTTAAATGCTGCTTTTTATTGTTTTGTTAACAGGAGTTAGTGTAATGGGCCCTCTTCTAGAAGAGCTAGAAGAGGACAGCAGTGCTTAACTTTGGTCATGAGTGCTCCATACTTTAAAGGATACAGTAACATGTTCAGTCTAATATGAAGCAATGTGATGTACAGTATGTTAGGTGAACTGACACTGGATGCCGTTTGAAGAAGACAGGATGCAGTGTGTTCAGATCAATTTAAGGAATCCCAAATATTGCTGTTCAGACTGCAAACATCAGTGTGAACAATCCAAACCTGAATGTCATAAACTTCATCAATGAGCTCCACCCATATTCTGCTTATCAGTTCACGTGTATTCAAAACTGAACTTCAGCCCCATTTTTACCTCGCGAGACAGTTTAATATTTAGTTAGACACCCTCTCATGCATACACATACTGAAACTCTGACGTTTGAGGTGCTTTTTACTTCACTTCCCTCTCACACACACAACCAGCAACTTTATGGCAGAAGCTGGTCCAGGAGCCTCCAGGAGCACCAGAATGAGCTCCAAGCCCTTGACCAATGAAGACCTACGGCTGATGGAGAAGACCCTTAAAAGACTGGAAAGGCTTTCCGAACTGTGTACAAACCCTCGGCTGGGTCTGAGGAGCAGTCCGCCATACCTGCCAGACCTGGTTCGAGAGACTTCAACTCTGGTCACACAGGTCTGGCAGCCGTTTCAGAACATCAGGTCAGGAGGAAACCCGACTCCACGAGGGGATGAGGCCAAGTACCTGAGAATCCATATCAGAAACCTGCTTGATAAAACGGACAGAGCCATGCTGCTTTTCAAAGAGGGCCGAGAGAAGATATTTGATGAGACATCCAGCTACAGGTACGGCAATCTTTTAATTTACTTAGACATTTATGTGTTTTCTAATAAAAACATTTAATTGATATTTACAAATATAAAAGCAAATATTGATAACCTATTATAACCTCTCAGATTTTTCAGGACTTTTTTTCCACATTTCAAACATTTAATTTAATTTAAAAAAATAATTCACTTTATCTTGAAAATTATATATATATCTATATATCTATATCTCTATCTATATCTATATATATATATATATATATATATATATCTATATATATATAGATATATATATATAGATATATATATGTATATACATAGATATATATCTATGTATATATATATATATATATATATATATATATATACACTGTATATATATATATATATATATATATATATATATATATATATATATATATATATATATATATATATATATATATATATATATATATATACTGTATATGTGTAAATATGTTTGGAAAATATTCCCGATCGTATCACTACTGAACCGAGTTTTAATGTACAGCACTGTTTTTTTTCCCCAAGGCATGAAAACTACATTTATTAAGATTTTAGGAAATCAACTTTATTTTTAATTTATGGTTAAACCATAAATTATCTCAATTTAACATGAACTTATCACAATATAGATTTAAAAAAAATAATCCCTGATTCTAAATCTACTGTTAAAAAAATCGAACTGAAAGCAACAATTATTGCAGTATGCCTAAACAGGATATTTATTTAAAGAACTACAGAAAACTTATTTAAAGGCTAGGCAGCATCTCATGCTCCTGTTGAGATAACTAATGATGAATGTGGAAATACAGATTACAGTCTGCACTCTGTGATGCTAATAAAAGAGGAAACCTCAAATAGCATCAACAGCAACAACTTCCTTTAAATTCAAGTAACTTTACAACAGAAAGTGCAAGAAAACGTTTTTGATCTCTCAGAGTGTCCTGTCATCCTCAAGTTGACTTCTGCTGGGGAATTGATATTCTTTTCATTCTCTTTCTCTTTATTTTCTCATTTTGATGCTGGTGAAGAAATTCTGTTTGTTTAGCATGATTAGCCATCCCGCGACAAATACTAGTAGATGTTTTAGGTTGCATTCCTAATATGTTATATATGAAGATTCAAATTCCACTTTTTTACATCTCCTATGAGATATACATCAATAAAGCACTTAAATATATATTTTAAAAAGCACAGTGAAAAGATGTTCTTGTGAACTCTTAATTCTTGTTTTGATATATAGTCCATTCTTTATTTTACGATGATGAAACAACTTGTGAACTCAGAACTTTATAATTCCTTATTATTTGTAGATTTCGAGCTGGTAAAGCAATTTATATTAAAAAAAAAGTTGAACTAGTTGTATTTGCTCCTTAACAGTGACACGTTGTGAAGAAGAGGAATTGGATGAATAATGATATTGCTTGCAAGGCTATATTTGCAGCACAGAAGCCAAATCTTACACATTTAGTTGATAGACTTTAGAAGGTCCACTGTACTTTGATTTACAAATTAAATGCTATATTTACATCTTATTCACTGTTGTTAGGTAGCACGCTAGTCCTTTAGACAAGGTAAGACGCTTCTCCTGTTGCTTTGGGCACCTTTTTATGTACAGTAGAAGCTCTAAATACACTGACTCTAGTTTCTGTCAATGTTCTGCGAATCTAATTCAAATGTACTCACAGATTCTCTGCACCATGCTGTGCTATAATCACTACTCTTTACATGTTTAGCATTATCTAACACACTTTTTTCTTCCACTAAATTTTCCTTTGATATGCGGTATATATAGTCAAATTCTTTAGCAACAATCTTTTGTGGCTTCCTCTCCTTATAGAGGGCATCAAATACTTTCTGATGGATAACCTTTAATGTATTAGTTTATGGAGGGTTATAGCAAGAATGTTTTGAAATAGACACATCTTTTTGTATTTATATATCATTTTAATTTTCAAATGAAATAAGAATTTGATGATTTTATTAGCTGTAATTCATAATTACAAAACAAACAATGCTTTGAATATATCAGACTAAGAGTAGTAAATCTATTAACTTAATTTTAAAAAAAGATTTTAAATCACATTTCTATAAAAACGTAACTTTTCAACAATCACCTGATTATTTAAAATTCAGCTGCATAATGAGGCAGATTTGCACAAGTAGAGAATATCTTTTAGCAAAATCTGAAAGTCAGATAAGCCATCTTTTTTAATCTTATTGCATAGCAGATGGGCCTCTTACCGAAGCAGACCTGCATGAGCAGCCATGTGGCAAGTTCTTATGCTAGCATGCGTGTTGTGGCCGACATGTCAAGTGTGAGAATATCATCTTCTGCATTAAAAAAATGTCTCTTCACAATGTTCTCTTTGTTTTCCGGTAATGAGCAAATTCTAAATCAGTTTATGAAAAACTCAATGTTCGGTTTTAGAACAGCACTGTTGCCAGTCAAATGAGGCCTAAAGCAGAACTGAGATGCAGCTGAAGTTCTAGCAGTTTTGTACCTTTCACATCAGGAGCTTTGTTTCCTCTGACAGAATTTTAGAAAAAGATAAAATTATTGAAATTAATAAGTTAATAAAAGTTTCTCTACCATGATCCATTTTTGGATCATATAATATATAAAAAGATTGTTTTTCAATCCTATATCAAAGTTTATTTACATTTGTTTAAATATTCACGAAGGAAAATCACAATGTAAATAAATACATAAACATTCTGTGGATTCTTTGTTTCGTTATTTGTTATACCTGATCGGATGAAATACAAAATTAGTCTTTGCCTAAATATTGCACTGTAAAAATTAAAGGCCATGTAAAAATAAAAAGTTTCTATCTGAATTTCAGAAAAAAAGAAAAAGTCAACAATTTTCAAGTTGACCGGAACTAAAATAGCATCATATTAAATGCTGCAAATCGCAAAATTCAAAGAAAAATGACGATCACCCATCCTGCTGAATGCAAAGCAAAATATAGGTTTTCATCAATCTTACAAAAATCTTGAAAGGCTACCTTTGACAAAGAGCATCCTTTCTTATTTTTAGAAATTGAAAACATGAGCTTATATATATGGTTGATTTACATGAAAACAAAAAAAAATGTTAAGTGTTACAAATCACAAAGAAAAAGGGAACGAGCCAAAAAGGCTTTTGTTCAAATTTGTACAAAAAAAGAAAACTGTCTTCCGTCTTCTTTCTTTATTATTATTTGATAGACTCTACTGGCCTTTATTTTATTATTTTTGAAAGTAGGCAGACATGAAATGGGATTAAAGAAAGGGAGAAGATATACAGCAAAGGTCAGCAGGCCGGGGCTCGACCTGTGACAGCCGTGTCGAGAACCAAAGCCTCTGTACATGGATCACGACCTTAACCCCTGCACCAACGCCGTGCCCAACAGTAGTATTTCTGTAGACAAAGTGTAAGTTAGCAGTGCCGGAAAAACATTCACAATTTTTCATAGTCCGTCACCGAGGAAGACCAAAGAAAAGAGAAATTATACATTGTGCTGCACATGAGCAATGCAAAATTTTGACATATTAATGTTAATAAAAATATAAAATTGAATAAAGCAGTGGAGAGGCCAGCTTTTTGTCATGTTCTATAAACAGATTGTCTCATGTTAGCTCTGCAGCACGTATCAGAGCTTTTCCAGCCTAAAGTACATCTTGAAATCTCTGAGTATCAGTTATAAGAAAGAGTTTGGGTTTTTCTCTGTCTAACAAAGGTAATTAAATTCACCACAGTGACTCTGTGTGCTTTAAATGCACTGGACACTAAGTACATCAAATATTGAAAGCATCAGTTCAGGTGAATTGAATGAATTTTTAAAGTCTAATCAGAGTGTTTAACACTAGTGCGTCATTACCCAAAACACACAGACAGTAATTTGAAGATTGGAAAGCAAAATGTGTGCTAAATGTCTTGCCCAGGGGCACATCAGGTTGTGAGAGGAAGCTTGAATCAAAGCCATAACTTTTCCTAATGCAATACAGCTACTTTGTTTCTGTACTTATCATATATTTAAAAAAAAAAACATTTAAAAATGTGGCTTACAAAGAGAATTATGACTGGAAATTATTTACCGCTCTAACAGGATGGATCCACATTAGCATACATCTTATTAAACCTAACAATACAGTCATATTTTTCCTTGCTGTATATAGTGAGGACTGTATGTTAACTCCCATTGACTTCTGATGATTTTCAGCCATTTTCAAACCTTTCTATACCCTAACCCTGAAAATGACCATAAAACTACCCATTCCAAGGGCATACTTCACCTGACTCAGTCCTAAGCCTATCACCACTAGAGAATGACAAAGTGAGGAACAGCAAAATGTCCTCACTTTGCTGGTGAAATCCCAAAAAATGGCCCTTACTGATGTTTAGATGGGGAAGACACATAGAAGACACACAGATAAATTTTTTTGACTACTGCAATTTTTTTTCACGGCTAATATCAAAGGTATAGTGGAGGATGTTCTTTTTCCAGCTGGATCATCAAATAAGTGGTCCTCCTAATTGTCAATCATTCTGGTGATATGTTTACGTAAGGCCGTCCTACATGTTTGTTCCCATTTTCACTTACCGGTGGTGAGTCTGACATAGTGGAAAAATTGCAAATCTTCTTTTGGAAGGTAAGCTTTTATGAGTGATGCAAAGAGCAAGTTATAAACAGAGAGTGCACAGGGATAAATGGGCTCATGCACACTCTTGCACGCATTTTCTCTCGCTCGTGGGAGCAGGTACAGGGTTATGCATGTTTCTTTTTTTTATGGAGAGTGCAGATCTTTTCAAATATTCACGAAAATCCTCCACAATACCTTTAAGTCAGACTTTTTTTCTATAAACACCACATCCTAACTTTACCTAACTGGCATTGCACCTGCTGAAAAAAAATTCTGCCAAAAGACATTTAGTTTTATCTTGTAAAATTACAATTTGGTTTGTCTTCTCTTTATTAGACTGATGGGGGATTATGTAGAGCCCTACACTGTTAGAGAAGAACACAGAGATTAAATACACCTCTTGCTGTTTTTCTCCTACTGGTTTGTTATTAAGTTAGATGCAGGATTTTTTCATTTTTAAAGGGAACAGCTTTTTATTAGTGACCAATTTCAGGTGGCCCATACTATGGATAGCTTGCATTCTTACTGTAAATCTTACCACAAGGTCGATGTCCTTTCAAATGTATTTTTAAATATATGGGGCCAGACCATAGCGAGGAATGTGGCTTACGCATTTCCTCCCACCTCCACCTCTACTACTTCTCTCCTTTAACTTGAGTTTTCTTTTTGTCGATAAGATAAAAGTTCACAATGGTTTTCTAAATTTATATAACAGACTTCTAAACCCAAGAAAGATAGTAGAAATATTTCATGTGGTTATATCAAACTTTTATAGTATAACCAACGCTAACTGCAAACAGTCTAACTTTATTCATTCGGAGGTACTTGACCCATAGCTTGATAGAACGTTTTCAAAGCGATGTTATCAAAGAGCTTTGACTGTTGGTGTTAGGATATAATAACAACATTTTGAACACACTTTTTTAGGTGTTATATTCTGCATGGCACAAAAGCTGTATGCATGTGAAAAAGATGAAAAACAAATGAATAAAAGAAAATGCATTCATAAGAAAATGCAAGTGAGAGTCTTTAAAAGTGGTCTGAAGTGACACACTGGCCAATGGAACATTTTGTGGTATTTTACAGACAAGCTTGCAGAAGCTAGCATCCTGTTTGCAAGCTGGACTACTTGTTAACTGTTTACCTGTATCTGTGTGTGCGTGCATGTCTGTGTTTATGGAAAATGCCAGTAATGCTTTGATAATCTTGCTGCCTAATATAGACTTAGAAGACAGAAGCTCAAACGTCCAAGAAAGGTCTGGTTTTAATATTTTTGGCTAGCCAGCTAGCCTTGAAATTATTATAAAATAACAAATATAAACATAATTCTGAATTAAAATCTCTTGATTTTTTTTCTTCTTACTTTCTGTACATAAAACGTTACTGCCTTTAATTTAGATTTTGAAGCAATATATCAACCCAAAACCTTTTTAAAGTAGAAGGAAAAAGCTCACGGAGTAAAACCTATGCAACACCATGCTGACCTGCAAACACAGTGGAAAATCTTTAGTTGTATCTCTAACAAACTTGCACATCCCGTCTGACATTTCTGCCTATTCCTCTGTGCTATTTGCAAAATAGCTTAAACAATTTTTTTAGTTCTTTAAGAGATTCCTCATTGAATTTAGCTCTGGACTTTTGTCCATCCTGACAAATTCTTTCAGAATCAGAATCTGATTTATCGCCAAGTAGTTTGCTCTTACAAGGAATTTGACTTGGTGCTGATGGTGCAGACAAATTAGGTATATATACAGAATATAGGATCTTTAGGTAAATACAACATAAAACATAGAATATACTTTATACCAGTGGTCTTCAACAGGGGGTCGCGAAAGTCTTGGTTGATTACTTTTTTAATATTCCCTCCTGCAATTTTTTGCACTAATTAAAATGTCTTTAAATCCACATTAACATGAATTCAGCACACTGAAGTAAACGGATAAATGAAAGCAGAAGATGTCTTTCAGTCATCAATGCACACATTCAGCGACACACATAAGCTCTTTCAAGCTGGGCACCGTTTCATTCACAACACCTGTCCCATCAACCAGGAATCAGAATCAGGAATACTTTAATAATCCCAGGGAGAAATTACTTTCATTACATGACTCCATATGTAATGGAGTGACTATAGGACCAGTTTGATAAAACACAATTTCATTCAATATACATAATTAGGGGGTCCCCGCTCTATCTCGCAATCAGTTTGGGGGTCCTTGGCTTCAAAAAAGTTGAAGACCCCTGCTTTATAAAATTATATAGTATATAGCTATGTACTATACAGTAGACTGTGTGTTAATGTAATGCAGGAGATCTGGAGATGCTACATTGGTGCAGGTTCTAGGTCCTGAACTGGGGAGGCTTCCTACTTTAGCTCTGACTGTATGTTAGGGGTATTGTCTGTCTACAGGTTTTCTCCCTGAATTGTCATGTAAATAGATCCATCTGCTGTATCTTCCAGTCCATTCTGAGGAAGTACTACCACAATGCATGGTACATTCACAGTGATGTGTTAAAAAGTCAAATTTGTTGTTATCTGCCAAAAAGAAATTCCTTAAACATGTTTACAGTGTTCACTAAATGGCTTATTTCAGGTCCTCTTATGGATTTCTATCAACAAGTTTTTGTCTTGCCACTGTTCAGTAAGGGCCAGATTTATACAGTGCATGACTAAAAGATGTGTAGATAATGTTCTACTGAGCTGTTGATCTGTGCAACTCCTCCCAAGTAAAAAAAAAGTTTCTTGTCATCCTCTCTAAATATTGCTTTCTTGCATGGCCTCCCAGTATAAGTGGAAACCCATGCCTAAAACATCGCTTTATGCGACATCCATTATTTTATTCATAATCTCTGTGGTGTGTTATTTGGTCTTGGTGTGTTTTTTGTTTTCCTTTGATATTTTCCCCCCAAAAAACTTTTGAAATGTCACAATGGTATGCATAAGGAGCTTCTCAAAGTTCAAAGTGTTAATGTGTTTTTATTTGGCAGGAGGAATCTGACCAAGCTGTCCTTGCTGTTCAGCCACATGCTGTGGGAGCTCAAGGCCATGTTTCCAGGAGGATACTTTCAGGGTGATACTTACAAACCAAAGAAGGCTGAAGCAGATCAGTTTTGGAGGAATTTTTTTGGAACCATGTGGGTTTAGAGTCTTTTTTGGTTTTCTGTACCACTATTTTGTGCTTTTTTCCCATCTGTTTAATTTAAATCTATATCTATAACATGCTTGTGCTTTTATAGGTGTATCGTACAGTGGAAGAAATTCAAAGAGCAACTGAAAAGTGTGCATCCATTTGAGGAAGGGATGGAGGCCATGGCCCTGAAATCCACAATTGACCTCACCTGTAATGATAACATCTCAGTGTTTGAGTTTGATATTTTTACAAGCCTGTTCCAGGTAAGCGCATGGTTGCCAGACAGAAAAGGAACTTGGTTCTTACAAAACAACAAAATGGAGCTCTTAATATTTTAGAATCTTTTAAAGAAAATAGTATTACAGATTAAGCAATATTTAAAAAAAAACGTGCAAAAAAAAAATCTTTTAAAAAGTGCTTGTGCAACATCCTAAGAGAACAACTGTCTCATTGTAATATTGACCTTTTAGCCTTGGAGATCACTCATAAGAAACTGGAACCAGCTCGCTGTGACACATCCAGGCTACATGGCCTTCCTCACTTATGACCAAGTTGTGGCTCGGCTTGAACACTACCTGCATAGACCTGGAAGGTAAGCACTAGCTTAGTCCTATGGCTCAACAACAGAAATGGTCAATTTACTGTACATGAATATAAATCAGATTCACATAAGGTGTAGTTTATTATATTAGAATAATAATGATAATAATTTTTAAAGTGTGAATAATGACATCAGTTTAGCGGCAGTTTTTAATAAGAAAATTTTATTAGGACACCCCATAGTTCCAAAGCTTGCAGGAATACTTGTAGCATTATTTATTTTTTAAATAATTAATACTATATGACTTTTTCTGGCATTACCGTTGAGATCCAAATATTTACATGTTTTATTGTTTGAATACACTAAGATTTTCAACAGCTTTTTTTTTTAGTTTTCTTAAAGTTTATCTGCGACCTCTTTGATGTGTTCCTTGGTCTTCACAAAGTAATTCGTCCAATACTGACAAAATCCTCTAAGGCCCCCACAGGACAGACACATAGTTCAAATTGAATCAGGCACATGTTGATTGTTTAGGTATTGTTCAGGTATGTAAGAGTAAAAAGGCTGAATATAAAATGCTTTGGGCTTGTGCTGTGAAAAAAAAATGTGAAAAGGTATATTTACAAATGCACCGGGAAGACTGGGTGTAGGTATTATCTCCCTTGATATTAAAGTGGATGTATTCCTTCCAGCTACATCTTTCGTCTGAGCTGCACCAGAATGGGCCAGTGGGCCATTGGCCATGTGACCCCTGATGGTGAAATCATCCAGACCATCCCACACAACACGCCTCTCTACCAGGCACTCATCCAGGGCTTTAACGAGGGCTGGTCAGCACAAACACACACAGGTTATTTATTTATTTTAGCCTCAGTCTAAATATCCTCTGTAAGATCTGTTTGCTATTGTAACTGCAGCTACCTGTACCCGGATGGACGTGACATGAACCCCGACCTGACGAGCTTGTGTGAACTGAGCAGCAGGGATAAAGTCCAAGTTACAGAAGTAAGTTGACTCCCATTGTTAGTCATACTTTTAGGAACGTCTCCATCACTGGAGACAAAGCTTTAATCTCTATCTGTTTGGATTTCTCCTTTTCTCCAACAAACCACAGGAGCAGTATGAGATGTACTGTGAGATCGGAAGCACTTTCCAGATGTGTAAGATCTGTGCAGAGAGGGATAAGGACATTCGGATTCACCCCTGTGGACATCTACTTTGCCAGCCTTGTCTCACAGGATGGCAGGTAGGAATCCTTTTCATTTCTGTAAAGATCTGATGCAGTCTATAGATTTGTGCACTGATCAGGAGCTGAATGACGTACATTCTGGCAGACGGTTGTTTCTACATGCTCAGCCAAGTGAAGCAGTCTGGGTTGACTGAACTAGATATATTTTTGTAGGTTATGGTTTAGTATTTGGATTTATCATCCTACTGTAACAATTCTGGTTATTTGAATGTGGTTTGAGGTTAAGGTCAAAATAAGCTGTATTTTTTCTTTGCAAATGCCATATTTAAATCTAGAACTGCCAGAAAGTCTCTCTGTCTTAAAAAAGGTCAAGACTAATTAGAAGAATCAAACATTTAATGCATATAAGAAGTTTATGTTACTTCATGGAAAGCTACACTTTAGTCATATCAAAGGCAAGCTGTATACTACAAAATGTATGAGTCAATGTGAATTGACTGTTTTTGGAATCAACATTTTCACACTTCTGATCAATTTGGTCACCCTTTTACCCTGTTGCTCTTCAGATTTAGTATGTTTTATCTTCATATGTTTTATTAGTAAAATTGATTTAGTCAATTCACTGAGTCATTAGGGGGGCCACATGCCGAAGGCATGGCCCACCTACTACTATTGCACATATTTAATCTGCGTATTATTATAATTCTCCCGTACCCCCAAACTTCGGCGCGTAACTAGTCCCGCACGGTTTGTCGGATCGGGCCCAAAGTTGGCACACGTGTCGGGACCAATGGGGTGATGTATGCTTGTATATAACTTTCTCATTAGTCTGAGGGTTTGCGAATTATTAGCGAAAACGTCGCAAAAAAAATCCCATAGGAAATGAATGGGGAGAGGAAAAAAAAAACATAAAAATCAGCACTTTACTGTGTCGGCATACATTCATGTAGAAAAACTGTTTAAAGCTCAGTTTGTAGATAAATCCTTCGTCTGCATAAAACTGAAGACGGCATGTTGATAACTGCTACGGTTTTTGTATAATCAGACCTCAAGCGCCACAAAGTTTTAGCAAAATCCACCCTTCTAGAGTGGAGAGACTGAAAAGCTAGAGTGTGAGGCAGCCGTTTTTTTAAGACCAAAAAACATTTTAAAATCGCCCTCACGGCCACATATTTATAGCTAGAGTCACCATTTTTGGTCAGTTTGTAGACTGAAACCTCTGGACCCACATAAAGTCTTCGGAATTACGGTAGGATTAATACTTTTCCTTAAAAACCCTCCAGACCGACCTAAAGTCGATGAAAATCAGAGCCGTTTTTCATTGGTTTTGGAGCAGAAGAGGGGAGAAAAACGATTGACAGTATGTGTTTTCAACTCGTCATAAATATTGTTCTGAAAGACACACATACACCAACGTTGGCATAGTTGGAGTCGAAGGATGGCTGACGCTCACGGTGAAAGAATTTTTTGAATAACTCATACGGTTTTTGCTCAGCAGTCGTTTGTTCGGAGGACATTTTAAGCACCAGAAAGCTAGGTGAGTGACCTGCTGCAGCTAGCTCAATTAATTTCAATTCAATTCAGTTTATTTATATAGCGCCAAATTCACAACACATGTCATCTCAAGGCACTTTACAGTTCAACCAGATCATACAGTCAAATTGATACAAAGTTTTCTATCTAAGGAAAACCAGTTGATTGCATTGACTCATTGACTCAAATACAATCCCTCACACTAAGCATGCTTGTAGCGACAGTGGAGAGGAAAAACTCCCTTTTAACAGGAAGAAACCTCCAGCAGAACCAGGCTCAGTGTGAGCGGCCATCTGCCAAGGCCGACTGGGGTTCAAGGAGACAGAAGCAGAGATACAAGCAGCTGTAAAAGGCGGCCCCGTCCAGGAAACACACAGCCAGGCAGACGAGCTCCAAGGCAGCTCCCATGCCAGAGGATGAAGAGAGCACATCCACCCAGCCACGGCCAGAGAAACAGGACCACACCTGAAGACAGGCCGATCTCCAACATCTACAAACAAGGGTGTTGATGGAAGCAGCACAGCTGATGTTTCTTTCCTGGATGACGTCACAGCCAAACAGGAACAGACGAGGCAAAGCTACTCTGAGGAAAAGCAGAGAGAGCAGAAGGTTAGAGATTGAACAAACAGATTCTGCAGAATAGGAGAACAGAGAGAGAATGAAGCAGAATGATGAAATGGGGGTCCCTATGTCCTCCAAAAGTCTAAGCCTATAGCAGCATAAATATAGAGAGAGAGCTCAGGATAACCTGAGCCACCCTAACTATAAGCTTTATCAAAAAGGAAAGTTTTAAGCCTAGTCTTAAAAGTAGACAGAGTGTCTGCCTCACGGACTAAAACTGGTAGTTGGTTCCACAGGAGAGGAGCCTGATAACTAAAAGATCTGCCTCCCATTCTACTTTTAGAAATTCTAGGAACCACTAGTAAACCTGCAGATTGAGAGCGAAGTGCTCTGTTAGGAACATAAGGAACAATCAGATCTCTGATATAAGATGGAGCTTGGCCATTTAAGGCTTTATATGTGAGAAGGAGGATTTTAAATTCTATTCTTGATTTAACAGGAAGCCAATGAAGAGAAGCCAGGATAGGAGAGATATGATCTCTCTTTTTAATTTTCATCAGAACTCTGGCTGCAGCATTTTGGATCAGCTGAAGGCTTTTAACTACAGTTTGTGGACTTCGTGATAGTAAAGAATTACAATAGTCCAGCCTTGAAGTAACAAATGCATGGACTAGTTTCTCAGCATCACCCCTGGACAGGAGATTTCTAATTTTTGCAATGTTCCTCAGATGAAAGAAGGAAATTCTAGAAACCTCTTTGATCTGGGATTTAAATGACAGGTCCTGATCAAAAATAACACCAAGATTTTTTACTTTATTATCTGAAATCAGTTTAATCCCATCCAAATGAAGTGACTGGCTAATCAGCTTCTTTTTCAGAGACTCTGGTCCAAAGACTATAACTTCTGTTTTGTCTGCATTCAGAAGCAGAAAGTTAAGAGTCATCCAGGTTTTTATGTCTTCAAGACATGCTTGTAATCTATGTAATGGGTTAGCTTCATCTGGATTTATAGACAGATATAGCTGGGTATCATCAGCATAACAGTGGAAATTAATCCCATGCTGTCTAATAACTCTACCAATTGGGAGCATGTATAAAGTAAAGAGAATTGGTCCTAGCACTGATCCCTGTGGTACTCCACAGGTAACCTTTGAGTGTGTTGAAGATCTATCATTAACATAAACAAACTGAATTCGATCAGATAGATAGGATTTAAACCAGTCTAGTGCTGTTCCTTTAATTCCAACAAAATATTCAAGTCTTTCTAAAAGAATATTATGGTCAACTGTATCAAATGCAGCACTAAGATCCAACAGGACGAGCACAGATACAAGTCCATTATCTGAGGCCATGAGAATATCATTAGTGACTTTCACCAGAGCTGTTTCAGTGCTATGATGAGCTCTAAAGCCAGACTGAAACTCTTCAAAAAGTTCATTATGGTGTAAGTGGTCGCAAACTTGTTTGGCAACTACTTTCTCAAGAATTTTGGATAAGAAAGGAAGATTGGATATAGGTCTATAATTAACCAAGTCATCTGGGTCAAGAGACGGTTTCTTAAGCAGAGGTTTAATTACAGCAACCTTAAAAGCTTCAGGTACATATCCCTGTAACAGAGATAGATTAATCACATCTAAAATGGAGGAGGAGATCAAAGGGAATACCTCCTTAAATAACCTGGTTGGAACTGGATCTAACATACAAGTTGAAGGCCTAGATGAAGACAATAATTTTGCTAATTCAGAAAGTTCAACTGGATCAAAGCAGTCTAAACCCGGTTCAGATTCCATGACTACCTCAGGTACAATCGCGGATAGAGGAGTGCTTATGATCTTATTTTTAATAAGATCAATCTTATTTATAAAGAATCCCATAAAATCATTGCTGTTAAGAGCAGGTGGAATGGAAGGTTCAACAGAGCTATGGCTCTGGGTGAGTTTGGCAACTGTATTAAAAAGAAATCTAGGATTATTCTTATTCTCCTCTATTAATGAGGAGAAGTATGCTGCTCTTGCTTTACAAAGGGTCCCCTTATACAGCAGTAAACCATTTTTCCAGACTATGAAGGACTCCTGCAGGCCTGTGGAGCGATATTTTCTCTCCAGTTTCCTAGCATTTTGCTTCAAAGTACGCAGCTCTGCATTAAACCAAGGAGCAAGCTTTCTATTTTTAACGGTTTTCATTTTCAAAGGAGCTGCGTTGTCTAAGGCAGTACGCAGAGAACTAGCAACCCCATCAACAAAATCATCAACCTGTGAAGGGGAATAAGCTATACTTTTGCACTCTGCAGCACTGCTCAGCGACACAGAGGAGAGAGAAAGTGAAGCCGCTTCTTTAAAATTTATAACTGCACTATCTGATAAAGATCTACTAAAATTGAACCTTCTTTTGGGGGAGGAGAACTCTGTTAAAGTAATCCTGAAGGTTATTAGAAAGTGGTCAGAGAGGACAGGGTTGTGAGGAAATACTGTTATTTCTTCACATTCTATGCCGTATGTCAGCACAAGATCCAAAGTATGAAGATGAGAATGTGTGGGACTATTCACATTTTGAACAAAGCCAATAGTGTCTAAGATAGCATTAAAGGCTGCTCTTAAGCTATCGCCTTCAATGTCAGCATGGATGTTAAAATCTCCCACTATGATGACCCTGTCAGTATTTAATACCAAATCAGAAAGGAACTCTGAAAACTCATCTAAAAATTCAGAGTAAGGACCTGGCGGACGATACAAAGTTACAAAAAGAAGAGGTTTTCTTGCCTTGAAATTTGGATGAGGGAAATTAAGGGTTAAATGTTCAAAAGAGTTGTAGGTATTAACTGTTTTGGGAGTAATCAGTAAGTCAGACTGGAAGATTGTTGCTACTCCTCCTCCTCGCCCAGAACTTCTGGGTATGTGAAAATTTAAATAGCTTGAAGGAGTTGCCTCGTTTATGCTCACATAATCCTCTTGCTGCAGCCAGGT